TATTGCGCTACAGGCAGGGACGTTACAGCAAAGTGTCAATGGCTGAATGTAGTAGTACTGCTGGTACGAGCAGCTGCTGTTGGGGATGGCTGGGCAGTTGGGATTATCCGACAGTGCGGATACTGCGGAAAGCTAGGCGGAGACTGGAGAGAGTATGCAGCGTGGTTAGGGAAGCGGCATAGGTATCAGGTATGGGGCGAGTATTTTAGTAATATGTTTGTAGTAGCAATTAAACTTATTAGGTATACTTAGGTGGGAAACAGTACTACTGCCATAGGGTTAAGTTGCCCCCTAGGGCGAGAATGTATATATTGTATATGCCATTAAGGCTTACCCCCAGGGGCAAGAAGTCCTAGCCCTGAATCCATTGCCTCTAGCCTCTAGCTTAAAGGCTTGCCCCTAGGGGCAAGAGCCGCCTGCCCTGCATCTATATGCCGCTAGGCTCTAGACTAAAGGCTTGCCCCTAGGGGCAAGATCTTTCTCCACTATGTCCTTGCATGTGGTTTCTGTCTAAAAGGCTTGCCCTAAGAGGGTACAAGCTTCCCGCCCCTAGCATCCTTACCCCTTAGAGTAAGAACTAAAGTGGCTTTGCTAAAACAAATAACTGCCTGCGCTTCCTCTCTGCCTTCTCTCTGCCTTCCCTCTTCTTGCCTTCCCTCTTCTTGCCATCTTCTTGTTCGCATTTAACACTAGACCTATTACAAAATAAAACGCTAAAACCTATTAACCTCTAGTAAGGGAAGGAAGAAGCAGTGTTGTTAAGAGCTTAAGTCTAAAGCTGTAGCCCTTAAGAAGATAGAGTTAGTTTATAAGCTAGTAAAACTATATTAACTAGTAACAGCAAAATTCCTAATTAATGCACTCACCCTAGAATAAACTGTTAGTAGAAACTAATCTATTAATAAGGCGCATAAGTAGTAGCTTTGTAAGATATTTAGTAAACAAAGCGTTCTTTAAAGGGACCTAGGTTATTAACTTAGAATAGCGTGCACTAAAGAGCAGGTAAAGAAGATGCTAGATTATCTTAGCTAGAAGCAGGCGCAGGATAGACAGGTTGCTGCTGCAAGAGAGAATATGTAAGAAAAGAAGTTTAAGTAGCCTTTATTTAAAAATTAGAATATAGTAGTAGAAGAGAAGGCTAAACTTATAGTAGGCAATTATAGAGTAAAGGCTCTAAAGAAGCGCCTATAGCTTTTAGGTTGCAGTAAGAAAGAGTAATAGTAGATTTGCAACATTTATAATAAAGGTTAAAACCTGCCCCCTTTAAGATAAGCAAACTAATGCAAGCTAATATAAAATAAGACGCACTACTACTGCATCTACGCACTAAGCTTTAGGCTAACTAAGAAGATTTAATTCTGCCTAATAACTATAGCTAGATATAGATAGAGTTAGTAACTTTATTATCTTTAAATAATACACTTTTCTAGGGCCTAAAGACAAAGGTAGAGCAGCAAATGCTAGAACACCTTAGGCTAAGTAGTTAAGTTAAATTTCTAGTAAAGTAACTAGGCACTTTATAGAGGAATTAGAATTAGAAGTAAATAATTATAAAATAGTGCAAATTCTTGCTTAGCTAGGCAACATTTAACATTTCTACATTTAAATAGATAGCAAGCTGTAGGATTAATAATGTAAGTAGATACTACTAAGAGTAACTAGAATTACACTAAGAGTAAAACAGTTCTAGTTTACTATGTTCTACTCTATAATTAACTTAATATCTTAAATATGTAGTAAATTTAGCATTAATGTCTAGTCTAGTAACTAGATTTAGTTAGCAAGTCTTCTATAAGTATAAAAGCCTATAGATGTTTAACAACTATTCTACTCTAACTTAGATAACTAAAAAGATGTTACTTTTTACTAGCAGTAAAACCTTTTCTTAACAGCTAGTAATAATGTATATAATAGTCTATATTAATTTATGCTTTTAACACTAGACCTAGGTTTTGCAGATGTCCACTCCCTCCTTAAGACTATAAAGTAGGAGGGGAAGGTAATAAGCATTATTATGTTCTATGTTTGTTAATAGCTAAATTATAATTCTGTAAGAGTTAGTAAGCGTAACAACAATAAACCTCTCCTACACAAGAATCTCCTGCCAGCTTTGCAGAAGAAGTGCAGTAATAATACAGAGAAGCAGTCTATAAAACTCTAAAAGTGTTTTTTAGGGTATGTTAGAAACAAAATAAGTAATTTTACTAGCCTAGAAATAAAGCATTACCTACACAAGTACTTAGATAATGCTAGGGATGCTTATACTAAACAGTTTAAGCATTAGGCATAGAGAGACATGCTAATTCTTGTTATTAAGTTAGCTAGCCTGCATCTACAGTATAAATGCCTAGTGCAGTTTAACACTAAAGATCTTAGGAAGATAAGCTTAAAACCTGCATCTATAATTACTTAGGCTGTTTATAAATTAATATTTTATATTTTAAAAGTAGCGTAAAACTTAGCGCTAAAAGAGAAAAGTGCAGTAGACAAATTATGCAAGATAATAAAGCTAGTAATTGCTAAGTAGGCTGTAAAGCAATGCGCAGAAGTGTTAGAGGGTTATAGTAAAGAATAGCAGCTATTAATAGTTTAACTAATAGAGGCAGAATGTGCAAAGTATAATGCGCTGCTAGAGAAATTGTGTTCTTTAAGCCCTTTCTTCTTTAGCCTATTATCTAACTGTTAGTTAGTTGCTCTTAGCAAGGCCTATAGTAAAAATAAGGTGGCTGTTTGCGATAGCAGATTAGGCACGCATAAGCCACATAGAGAGCATTCCACAACCTAAAGTAGCAGAGATAGGGTGACTGCTAGCGCTTATAGGACAGGTGATTCTCAGCCTCTGTCAGCGCAAGATCTAGGTGCGCTAGCACTAGACAAAGTGCAAACCCTCCTAAGGCTGCGCGGTAGTAGAAAAAAGATGCAGCTGCTGCTAGTAGAAAGTCCTAATAGCAGGGCAAGCGCCTAAAAGCTAGATAGCAAAAGAAGGTTAGAAAATTGTCTATTAAACTAGCATTAGAGCTGTGACCATTCTAAAGTACAGCAGCACATAGCAAGAGGATTAGGGCATTAGAGGCGACGTGTGGCTGCTAAAGCTGGAAAATGCCTTACAGGGGTAGAACACAATGTTATCAGGCGTTGCACGTAAGTTAGGATGCGCTTAGTGCCTGCACATGTAACTGTCTTAAGCTATTTAGGCTGTTGTTACACATTTCTTTTATTTAGTAGCCTAACCCCTAGGGGCTACAGAGAGTATGTTAAATTTGCAACATGTTATAAGTAAATATATATATTTTTATCTAAAAAGAGAGGCTTAAGGTTTTAACATCTTACTACTATTAGGGTTTACACCTAGTAAGAGTTTACTAAGAGTAGAGTTAGACATTTATAGAGAGGTTAACTATTAGGCTCTCTATACTAATAGCCTTAGCCAGCTTTAGACTAAATTAGAGCAGAAGTATGCACTTAACAACATTAATACTATTTTATACACTCTAGCAGTAGACATTAACTGTCTAAATGCACACTTTTCTAACCTAGATAATAAACTTGCACGCTACTTTCTTGCTAATTATAACATAGTCTTAAGGGAGTTTTAATAGCCGCGCAACTTTACCTTCCACCTATTAGCATTCTACCTAGCATACAGAAATTTCTTATCTCTGCAGCTACTAGCATTTCTAATAGATAACCTTCTTGCTGTTATGCAAGACAATATAAGCTACTAGAATAATAGCGCTAGCGTGCTTAATTATAGGTATTTTTAAGGATACTTTAACATTAAGCGTAGCATCTGTTACAGGCTAGACAACCTTCTTGCAACTAAAGGAATAGCAACAGCTGCTCTAGCACTTCTAGAGTCAGAAGCTAATGCCTCTAACTGCGTAGCTGCAAAGCGGCAACAGCTGTTGCGGCGTCTACAGGGCCAGCTTACCCCAGAGGATCCCGATTCGTCCAAGCCCTTCGCTCGAGAGCAGCAGCGCATCGAAACTGCGGTTGCAGAGGAGGAGTTTGCCTTTTAAATAAAGCAGGTGCTTTCTATGTAGGTCTCTTGCCTAGTTAATAAGCACTACAGCTTTATAACAGTTCTTAATCTAATCTTCTAGTTAATGCGTTTCTACCTTAAAGAAGCTTAGCAGTATACGCACTTGCTATAGTCTTTCTAGCTATCTATCTTTTTTAAGGTGCTTAGATTCTTTGCTAGGATTTTTAGGCTTACAATTAATAACTTGCGCAGAAGGTTTAAAGCTACTAGATCTACAGGGTTAGGCGTTGCTTTAGCTAAAAGTGTAGCTGCACTTAATTAGCTAGGAAGCTACTGCTTTACTAGGTTTCTTAGGTTATTAATAGGTTTAGTGCTTAAACCTCTAGGTACTATAGATAGAATAGAGCGCGGGGCATAGCCATACATCAATCCCTGAATGCTAGATCTCTAGGGCGGTGGCACGCTTAGTCTTGCACAGTAGCTGCGGGGTAAAAATAGCTAACTATTGCTAATGCATGTAGCGTCTATTGCATTCTACTATAGGCTAGAGGTAGCAGTAAGCTGTTACAGCAATGTGTAGTTCTAAAAGCTAGGCGGCATATAGGCAAAAGGGCTAAGTAGTGTAGCTAAGTTTCTAGAGAAGATGTTCTAGGAATTATAGGTGCTATAGATAATTGCGTTTGTTACCTATAAGTTTAGTTATATATTAAATAAAGGCAGTTAAAGCTAGAGAAGCAGTAGGACGCAAGAGAGCAAAGAGCACTAGTAGGAGCTTGTATAGCAATAGTCCTAATCTAGGAAACTATTCTTATAGATGTAGGTTTATTACCCTACTTAGATGTTTTAGGGGTTTTTTAGCACTAACGTCTAGGTTAAATAGAGAGTATAAACTAGTTTTTTTACTTTTTGTCTTTAAAGATGCTGCTCTGCCTACTTTTATATTAACTAAGACATAATAAGACTTTGCTAAGAAGCTATATAACAGTAGTATGTAATCTAATAAGTTAGTAAATAAATCCTTTACATCTTAAAATGCAACATAGTTCTTAGTTCTCTGCGCAGCTGCCTAATACACAGCTACAAGCTTAATAAGTAGGAAGCTCTAGATTAGTGCACTATGCGTTGCAATAATTTCTAGTAAGGTTAAATGCATGCTAGGGTTATATTAATTAAGGCTTAGCTATTAGAGAGTTATTAGGCTAACTAGATTAGCGCCTCTAGCAACAGCACTTACAGCAAGACTAGGCAGCCTTAAACAGGTATCTAGGGAGGCAGAACACAAGGCTAAACATCTACTAAATAAGAAGACAGTAATTAACTTTAGCTATTTTATTCTTTTTGCTATAATACTACTACTAGTTAAGGAAGGTTTTTAGCTTCTAAAGAAGAATTTTAAGAGGGGAGACTAAAAAGTGCTAGAGCATTATTAAGTTGCTTACTAATGCTTAGTAGAGTGCCTTAGTAATCCTCTCTGCAATGTAATGCTAATAATAGTGTTAACACTAGCTTTATTATTAGTTACCTTAGCAGTAGCGCCTAAGACGCAGCATTTTAATGCAGGGCTAAAGAAAGATGCTGCAATGTTTGTATTAAATTTAGTAACAAAAATGCTTTAGTTTCTTATACTAAAAAAGTTCCTATAGAAGGTAGATAATAGGCTTGTGCTTTAGGTGCTAGAGATAACAAAGAAAATTAGTAAGACAATTTATAATTACCTGTAAGCTATTATTTATATACTAACTATAAGATATAGAGCATAAAGGGGTAAGCAACTGCATGCTGCAAGAGCTAGGGTGGGTAGTAGTAGAGTGTGGAAACTAAGATAGTCTATAAAATAGTGAATTATCTCTCTATAGTATAAAAAACTTACTGCAGATGTGTAATAAGTTAATGTCTTTTTAGAAAACTCTAGTAGGGTTAATTAAAATAATATTTTATAGTTATAATAGCATATAGGTTAAGCGTTGCTTAGGTATTATTAGAAAGAGATAATAGTAAGATTTATAAAATAATTAGTGTAGCTATAGTGTAAACCTATAGGCAAGAGATAGCTAAAGGGAAAAGAAGAAAGAGGGGGAGAGAAAGGGAGTAGAAGGAAAAGAAGAGAGGGGTTTTAGTATAAGTACTAGTATGTATTGCTAAACCCCCTCTCTTTGTCCACTCCTTAACATGTATATATGTAGTAGCACACGTGATAAGTAAATTCACTGTAATAAAGCATACATTATAATGTAAAATGCGCTAAACCCTATATAAAATACTCTTTTAAAATTAATGTAAAATAATTATTACATTTTTAGCTAAGAGGTTTATTTATTATCTTAACATGTAGCTAAACAGCTTAGCGTAGGTCTAGCTAACATGTAGGATAAGGAGATAGCTAGGGGGTAGAGAAGGGGTTTTAGTATAGGTACCTACTTGCCACTGCTAATGCACTAACTACATATAGGCTTAGCACACGCGCTAGCTATAAACAACTATTTGCAACTTTATAAGCTTTTTTTACCTCTATAATCTACTACTCTCTGCTCTAGTAGCAGAAGCAGCAGCAGTAACAACAGCAACAACAATAATAACAACAACAAGGACAGGTGCAATTTTAGCAAATTTAAATAATTTTAACTAAAAAAGTAATTATAAGTTATTTGTAAGCTAGCGCTAACTAGCGCAGTGTACTAAAGTTCTAATTAGCTAATTCTAGCAAGTGTAGTGTTTTTTTTAAGTCCCTTTAAGGCGGTACCTATCCTAAAAGCCCCCCCCTCCCTCCTCTTGTCTCTATATCCTCCACCCCTATTTGCTACCTACTGCAGTAGAAATAACCTATTGCACTCTAACAAACCTGCCTAGGAACTAGTTAAAAACAGCTAAGTCTAATATTAGAGCTAGGCTCTTAAGATTTAGTAAGTGTTTTCTATATTTACTAGACTTTTTATTGCAGTATCCTTAGGCTAGAGCTAATAAAGGGGAAAGAAGAGGTTTAGCTTTATGTACTAGTACTTAAGGCTAAACTTTCTTTCTTTTTAGTACTTATCTTTATTCTCTTTTTTAATTAGTGCTTATACTTAACTTTTTACTTTAGTACATATCTTATATATTTTATAACATTATTAAGTTTCTTAGTAAACTTATACTTATTTAGGTTTAGGCTTAGCTAACATTATAATAAGGTTATAAATCTAGGTGCATCTTCTAGCTATTATTAAGTAGAGCTTAGAGAGTAGTGTAGTTAGCTTTAAACCTGCAGCCTTTTGCTATATTTAGACACTAATTCTATATCCTAGTTAGCTTCTTTAATTTGCTATTTCTCTAAGGTTTAAGATTACTATAGGGTTAAACTAGATCTTACTATAGACGCATTTTTTAAGAATAAATAGCTAGAGAAGTAAGCTTAGGCTAAAGCTATTAAAAAGTTTATTACTAATAAGCTTACTAAATTAGACTAAAACTTAAAAAATATTAAAGTAGTTAAGTAGAACACTAAGACTAGTAAAATTATTTTATATGCAGCTATATAAAGTATTATATAGTTAGCTTTGTATTTTAATGCAACCTAGGGCAAGCTTTTAGATGTAATTAAAAGCAATTATAAATTTTATAAGGCAACTAGTTAACTTTAGCGCGCTTATTTTTTTTACTTAAGCAACACTAAAGAACTTAACCTGTAGATAGTTTTTAACACTATTATAGATAACTAACACTAAAGGACTTATTATTTTAAAGGTACGCTAATAAAGTTCTATAATTTTAAAATGCTATTAAAAGTTAAGATGTATACTTTTATGCTAAGAGTAGTTATGTTTAACCTTTTTAAATAAGCTAATAGGCCTTTTTATAGTTATAGTATTCTTAAGACTTTTATCTCTAACTAGGCATAGAATTTTATTAAGTGTTTTAAGTAGCTTAGTAGCTAGGCTAAGAAACAAGCAGCTAACTCTAAGCTTTATAGTAGTAATTATGTTACTGTAGATACTATTACAGCTAATGCCTTAAATCCTAAGATCTTGCGTGTAGGAACTTTAGAGGCTTATGCTAGACTAACCTAGTTAAGGAGGAGTAGCTGCGCTAAGGCTGTAAAACAGATTAAGGCGCTTAGCAGTAAACAGGTCCCTAAGGAATACGCTGTCTACCCTACTAAGCTAGAAGAAGTACTTAATGTATTTAAGCCTAGTCTAGGTTCTAATTCTAATTTACATTTACATTTAGATTTAGATTTAAAATTAGATTTAGATTTAGATTTAAATTTAGATTTAGATTTAGATTTAAATTTAGATTTAGATTTAGATTTAGATTTAGATTTAAATTTAAATTTAAATTCTAATTCTAGCACTGCATTAGATAGATTAAGGGAGGACAAAGAGAAGGCACCCGCGCGCAATATCCTAGGCGGCAGAGACGGCAGTAGCAGGGTGGCGCGTCTAACTTTCTAGAAAGGACATAACTATAGTTAGGGTAGAGACTACATAAGGAAGAAAAGGAAGGCTGCTTTAGTAATGCTATTATCCTTCTACTACCTAAATGTAAATAAGAATAAGAAAAACCTAAAGTAGATGTAGTTTAAAAATAATAAAGTATATAAAAGAGTTTATATCTAGAACCTACTTAACTATAAGGAAGTAGACTAGATAGATAACTACTGCCTTAACCTAAGGTTTAATTCTAGTAACGTAATAAAAAATAAGACCCTAGAACACAAGCTTACCCTGCACGCTAGCAGCAATGTTAAAAGAGAGATAGAAAAGCCTAGCTAATTAATAAATAAGCTACTTAAGTTAGATTATGCTTAAAAAGGGGTTTTGCTATACATACTAGTACCTAACCTAAAAACCCCCCTAACACTTGTTAATCTGCTGCAGACCTAGACCTAGACCTAGACCTAGACCTAGGTTTCTGTTCCTCCTTTAGGGCACAACAAGGTTTAGGCGTCTACTTCTATGTAAGGCTCTGTTGCCTCTGCACTAGAAGCCTTATTAAAACTTAATGCTTATAATAAGGATAAAAAGGCTATGCTTAACATTACATATTAGAATTAACTTATTT